TTAATTAAATCATCAAAATCAATTTTGTAATTTCCATTCATGGTGCGTCATAAACGTACGCAAGCCACACACCCTCAATGAGGAACAGACAGAGAGCGAGAGAGAAAGAGAGAGAGAGAGTGAGAGGTAGTCAGCAGGTGGGGGAGTGAGAAAAAAAGAGAGAGAATGCTGTTGGGTGGCACGCCCCTCATCAACGACAGCATCATCAACATCAACAACAACAACAACAACAACAACATCATCATCATCAACAAAAGCCGCGCACAGAACCGTTTGGCAAATTGTCTGCTTTCATCTTTGGTTGTTGGATCGCTGGGCGTTCTGTTGTGGCATCAACACAGTCTCTCCCGCTCTCCCCCTCATACCACCTGCCGCTCTTCCCATTCCCACCAGCTGGCATCAAACTCAATTTTCCACCCCATAGACACAAATACAAACACACACACACACACACACTTATACAGCCGACTTCAGCCATTTTCAATTTTGCTACATTTTCTGCCATTCCCCCCTCATCACTGCCTGCGGCATTTAACATGCATGTGGAGCTGGAGCTGTTGCTGTTGCTGTAGCACGCGCCAGGCCACAACAGCGTCGCCCGTTTTCAGCTACTTCCCTTCCACCCATCCATCCCAGCACCCCCATGCCGTTCCGTCAACCACTTTTCAACTTTAATCTTTTTCATAAACTTCACATTGGCAGCAAACAATTTGCGTCGCCGTATCCCCAACCCCAAACCCCGTCCCCAAAAAAAAGACGCCCATGGCCCACAGTTAAATGACGTAGAGCGCATCATCCCTCCAAAAAGAAAAAGGCAAAGGCCAACCCCATGGCGCCTGTTATGCTCATCGTTGTCGTCTTCTTTAATTTTGTTCGCAGCAAAGTTTTGCCGTTTTATTGGAAAACTTCTGCCGCAAAGTGTTGTCGCCCAAAAGCGTACACGGCGTATACGCAATTTGGCTTGTACTCTCGCTCTCTCTCTCTCTCTGTATCTCTCTCTCTCACACACACACTTTCTTTCTCTCTCGCTCTCTCTCTGTCTCTGTGTGTGTTTGTACTATGGCACAAATTGCTTTTCGAATGTTTTTGACAGTTTGCAAATTGGAAAATTGACTTTTAACACACAAGAGTTCAGCAGCTTAATAAAACTGTTGGCAACTTGTGCAAAGCAGAGAGAGAGAGAGTGAGAGAGAGAGAGAGATAGAGGGAGAGAGAGGGACACTCTGGTGGGCAGTTGAGCAATGTCTTGGTTTTACACGTTCATTGTTGGGTTCCTGCATCCATATTCATAGCAATACTTCCGTTTTCCGCCCACGTCTCCTATTTCTCTTCTTTCCTTCTATCGTTTTTGGTTTTAGTGGTTGGCAAATTGGAAAACGTTTATGGTCAGAGCTAAGTGCTCTTTGGCTAACTAGCTTTTGCCTCTCTGGGGGCTTATTGTGCCACACTACAAAATCTAGACTGCTCGCCAGCGCCCTGCAATTATAGATCGCACAATCATTATTTCCATTAATTCTTTTTTTTTTTTTTTGTGTATGTGTCATGCAATTCAATCAAATTGAGTGAATGAAAATGCATTCGACGCTCGTTGCGATAAGGATTTAATTGCATGGAAAATATATGTATGCTAGCAATGGCAATGCACTATATAATTAGACCCCCGTTGCGCTCAAGGATATTGATAGCGGCGCCTAAGCTAATGCCAGCAATGAAGCCACTACTGCATCTGCATGAGTTCCTACTCCGTGTGGAAGCTTTAATTCAATTAAAAAACTGCCTGGCAGACGGAGCTAACTCTAACCCCGAACCTGAACCTGAGCCTTAGCCTGAACCTGGGCCCGACCCTAATTGTATGCCAGCTCGCAGACAGACATTAGTTATCCTTCAATGTTTCAGCCTGTCATAATTCGAGGCAGGCAGGCAGGCAGCAAGCGCTCTGGTCCCGAGCTCAAACAAAGACACAGCGTGGAGTCCTTTGAGCTAGTTTATGACATGTTTTCCTTTGTTGGCTTTTAGTTCCGGCCCCTCCAGCGGCCAACCGACTCGCCGGCTCTCCGTGCCTTCTTCCCCATGGCCATGTTGCATGCGAGCCTGCCCGGCATCCTGTTTCGACTGCCCCGGGCCTCCGACTCTCCGACTCTGATTCGGGTCCAAATTAGAGCTAAACAAAAGCTTGGCGGCCACAAAAGCGCGCTCGCTGTAAAAGATGTTTTAATTAGTTTAAGAGCCGACAAGCATATTGATTTACACTCGATGCCGCTTTGTCCTCATTGACAAAAAAAGTCCCCCCATCCTCCATCTCGGGATGGTTAAAGCTCCTTGATCAATTTCTGTACAAGATCCTTACAGTGGGTATTTGAAATTTGTTGTGAGTCAACTACGTATCCATAAATAAATATATAAATATGCCTAATCAGCATTCCCAGGTCGATTAAGATAACAATGTGTGAAAGACTAGTTTTAGCTAAATCTTATTGAAACTTTGCATAGATATATTTCA